CCTGCTGCGCAGACGCCCTTTAATCCAAGCACAGCTTTCTGCACGCAGTGGGTGAACACCTCTTTTCATCCAGACACACGGGTCGGGCACACCCGCGTGCCACTTATGAACCTGAAGTGGGCCCCCAACGGGCGCCGCTTATTGTGTTCCACTGGCCGCGGCGAGTTTCTACTCTTCAATGGGCACTCGTTTGGTGTGGAGGTCAAGACGGTTGCTCACGAAGATCATCGGCCCTGCCGGGCCATTACGTGGGGAAACAATAGCGACTTGATCATCAGTGGCGACGATGCGGGTATCGTGAAACTGTGGTTGTCAAACTTTGTTCTTGTGGCGGAGTATAACTCGAATCACCGAGCTGTTCGCGAAGTGACGTGGTCACCACTGGAGGGGAAGTTCTGTACCTGTGGGCAGGATGGGTCTGCGCGTGTGTGGGATACAAACGCGGTGGGCATCAACCCTCAGGAAGCACGGGAGGAGGTGAAGTTAGAGGGACACGGGGGTGACGTGGTGACAGTAGATTGGCACCCGTTTCACTCCCTTATTCTCACAGGAAGTCAGGATCGGGATTGCCGGCTCTGGGATCCGCGCACCGCGTCACGCGGCAGCATCGCGGCTTTGCAGGGACACGCCCAGTCCGTTAATTGCGTGCGGTGGAATCCCAATGGTACAACGCTGCTCTCCGCGTCGAAGGACTGTACAGTGAACCTCTGGGACATACGAATGGTCCAAGTGGTGGCGTCGTACGAGGCTCATTCAAAGTCCGTGGAGCGTGTGGAGTGGCACCCGCAGGTGCCGGACCTTTTCGTGAGTGCAGGCGCGGACGGAAGCCTCATGTATTGGCCGGTGGATGCATGCGAGGGGACCCCGCGACAGGACGGCGTGATGGTCGTCATACGCGAGGCTGCAGTTGTCGAAAACGCACACGATCGCTTCCGCGATGTCGCCAACGCGGTGAATGCCGTCGCCTGGAGCCCGTTGGGGAGCCTACTTGCCTCCTGCTCGGCGGAGGTAAAGTATTGGCACCGCAACAAGCCAGGCGCGCTCGAGGAAAAGGAGCGTGGCGAGGAGGACGACGTTTTCGATGCGAATGAGAAGCTGTGAAAAGACCCTCCATCCCCCCCGTCCCTCCCTCACGGACAGAAAAGAAGACAGAGCTGCCGGTGTGTTGGTGTGCACAGCAACGCACGCGTGGTCTCCATTGCAGTTCAGGAGGAAGAGTAATGTTTGAGCTTAGCATCTCGTTTATCTGTTTCTCTGCACGCGTGAATACACGCACCTTCCCCTCAGTTATTCACTTCACTGGTGCTACACAATTACTGTTTTCCCTTTCTTGTGGTCATGCAGACAATGGAAGGTGGTAATTGGCATGTATGGAAGGCCACAGCGGCTGTTTACAACTCACAGGACCCTGTGAGCTTTCTGTTCGCCCTGTCAACGCTTCTCCCCATTGTTGTTCTGATTTTTCTTGCGGGTATGGCTTCGGCCACGCTCTCCCCGCGACAGGCACCCGCGCTTGTGCTCCTTTTGGGCCTCGTGTACAATGCGTTGCTTAACGCCGTGTTGAAGGCTCTCGTTCGCAGCCCACGGCCGCCCAGTCCTGTGGGTAGAGAAACGCACCAAGGTGCCTCAAGTGCCCACGGGATGCCTAGCGATCATTCACAGTTCATGTTTTTCTTCGTGAGTTGGCTTATGCGAAAGGCTGACGTGAGCGGTATCGCAATGACCCTCACCATGCGAGGATTTCTTATCCTGGCTGCCGTTGTTGTGGCGTACGGGCGTGTGTACAACGGATTTCATAACTTTCCGCAGGTACTGGTGGGGGCTTTGGTTGGCATCGTTAACGCCTACCTGTGCACGACACCTCTTGGCGAGAGAGTGCTGCAGCAGCTGGCGGTGATGGTGGTGCCGATCAGGGATTTCTGCACCATGTGGACCCTATATATTATTTGAAGGCCACACCTTTTTTCCTGTGGCTTTATGGTATGGGCTGCGTCTGTTTTAATAGTCAGTTTGCCACGACAACAACCATTTTCTTCTTTATTTCGTTAGGTTTCCGCCGCTCTCATGTTTTTTTCTTCTCTACATCCTTTGTTTTTTTAATTTACACATGCTTTCTTTCCCCCCGATAGGTTTCGCTGGTATCCATAGCGTGCTGGCAAAGGGAAAACAAGACACAACGGCTTCATTCATCGTATAGGTGCACCAGAGCCGTTGAGGTTTCTACACTCACTGTGTTCGCGCCCACCGGTGTTTCAGCGCCGACTGCTGTGGCGGGCTACGGATTTACGCAATGTCCTCCGCAATGGAGGTGGTGCGACATGTCAAAGCCTCGGGGGGCATCTTGGACTCCATCTGCAACCTCATCATTCGCCCTCCGCGGGCGGCGTACGACCCGGAGACCGACTTGGGCCCGGAGGTGTTCCGCGTCGACGACGGCGACTCAGAGCGCTACAAGCGCAGTGATTTGACGCTGTGGAACATGCGCGATGAGAAGGTGGTCTGCTCCTGGTTCCACCCGCTGCACGAGCAGCGGCGGCCCTGTGTGGTGTACTTGCACGCAAACTGCGGCTCACGCTACGACGCGTTGGAGGCGCTCTTCCTCCTGCGCCATGGCTTCTCGCTGTTTGCCTTCGACGCTACGGGGAGCGGGTTGTCCGACGGCGAATACGTGTCGCTTGGCTTCTACGAGCGGCAGGACTTGGCGACGGTGGTGGAATACCTCGCGGCGCAGCGGGAGGTCGCCGGCATCGGCCTATGGGGGCGCAGCATGGGCGCTGTCGCCTCCATCATGTACGCCGCCAAGGATCCCTCTATAAAGTGCATTGTCTGTGACTCACCGTTCTCCACGCTGCGACTGCTCATCAAGGATTTAGTGAGGCGGCACGGGTCGAAGCATTTTCCATCGCTCATTATCAACACAATTGTGGGTCGCATCCGTAAACGGATCGCCCAGAGTGCCAATTTTGACATTGATGACATCAGCGCAGTCAAATACGCCTCGGAGTGTGTCGTGCCAGCCTTTATATTCCACGGCGCCAAAGACGACTTCGTGGCGCCGCAGCACTCCATAACTGTGTGCAACGCCTTCAAGGGCTCGGCTCTGCATCACGTAGTGGTGGGAGGACACAACGATGAGCGAGACAGTACAGTGCAGGACACTATTAGAAACTTCTTCACACTCTATCTCCTACTGAAGCCGGAGGGGGAGCGGCTGCGGCACGTGCAGCTAGAATCCGTTGTGGGGAAGGAGCAGAAACATGAAGTATCGGCGCCTTCTCACACCAAGAACAAGAGCAATGAGGATGAGAGCAGCAGCGACGATGAAGAGAATCACACCAGCAGCACTAACGACAACAGGAACAAGGCGTGCTCTGACTCGGTGAGTTATGCCCCGTTGGAGCAGATCAGGTTTTCCAAGCTACGGCTTCGCGAAGCGGACGGTTCACTGGCACCGGCATGCAACGTTGACGGTGCACAGGAAGAAAGCGTAGAGCCACCTGCGTGAGCCNCTGTGGTTATATATATATATATATATATATATATAGGCTATTCTCTTGGGCCATGTCTAGGAGGATATATACCACGCAGTAGTGCTTCGGACTTCGCGCAAAAGCGTGAAAATAGCGTGCGTTCCTGTTTCTATCACCCCCCCCTTCACTTCTTTCCCGTGCTCACCGTGGATTGTATACCAACACCAGTACTACCACTACTGCCGCTGATATGGCTGATAGGGGATCGGCTTTCCTTCCCCATTCTTATTCTCTTGCTTGCCGTCGACGCACGAATCCCTGTCTAGACAGTTGCGGCCAACACGTCACGTTTTCTGGTGGTCGCAGCGACACGGTTACTATGGGGCAAACAGAGGAAAGACATGCATACCAAATAGTATTGAATTTCGGATATATAGCTTGACGGTGATGCGTTTTTCTGCTGGCGTGCAGTGTGTGCTTCCGTAGTTGCCCACACCAGTGACCTCAACAGCGACGACAAGGCACAGGACAGGGAAAGAGGAGGTGACGGGAGTGAGAGAGGAACTAAAAAAAAAAATATGCACTTCTAGCAGATGCAGCGCGCACTAATTCTACCATCGCTGCGAGATGGAGAAGAAGTGTGGCTACTCAACACTTTTTTCTGGGGAATACGCCTAGCACACCTAGCGCTTGTTGCTATGAATTTTTTCTGTTCCTTTTTGTTTGATTTTGGGTTTCTTGGCTTTTTCACGGGAAGATCGTCTGAACGATGTCCCATCATTCCCATGTTTTAAGTTCGCCTGTGTTGCCTTGCGGGTATTATATATATATATATATATATATACATCGTCTCTATGTGTGTCCTCTTGTCGGCGGTGCGAGGAAGTGTGTCTGAGTGTGTTGGAGGGGGTGACGTCCGAAGATGGATAGGCCGCGTTGGGTGCCATTCCTGTTACACCGCCCGCTATACCAGTCTTGTAGATTATGTCGTTTGCTTTTTATGTTTTGTTGCTGACTACGTGAATTGGAGCAGAGAGAAACAAAACAGTCCATTTTTCTTGCTGCTTTCTCTGCGCTTGCGCCTGTTTGTTTCTTGCTCAGATGTCGTCGAACAGTCTTGAGGTTTTGCCGGTACGGAGGGGTGGGCCAGCAGCAATTGACAGCCTCGGCTTCTATCTGCTGAGCAACAACGCCACGCCGGCACCAGCCAGCCTGACAGACGCCGAGAAGTTATCCCTCGCACAAGAGGAGAAGTTCTGGACGAGCCGCATCTGCTGCTACCTTCGGCTGTCTCTTGAGCTCCAGCGGCATACGACCTTGTCAGACGGTAACAACAACGTGGGGCAGGGTAACAGCGGCAGCGGCAGCAGTGGGAGCAGTACCCACAACACGGCAGTTGAGGTGGCGGCACTCGTAGAGGCGCAGCGGCGCGTCGGGTGGCAGATGCGGCGCCGCGTGTGGCAGTTCAGAGGAGTTCCGCACCCTACACTGCGGCGGCTGCTGTGGGGTTTTTTCAGCGGCGCGCTGCAGCGCCCGGCGAGTGTGGTTCGCACTCACCACGCGGCTTACGCCGCCCTCACCGCGGCGCCGCCAGACGAGGAAATTGCCGACGTTATTCAGCGGGACTTGGGCCGCACGTTGCCAACGCACTGCCTTTTTGTGGGCAACGGTTCAGTGGGTCAAGCGGAGCTGCGCCGTATTCTCGCTGCTTTCAGTCGCCTCGACCCCGCGGTGGGCTATTGCCAGGGCATGGCATTCATTGCGGCGGTGCTGCTGCTGCACGCGCCAGAGGAGGAGGCGTTCGCGATGCTCGTACAGCTCTTCTTCTCGCCGTTGTACCGACTGCGCGAGCTCTACCTCCCCGGATTCCCGCTGCTGCGGATTTTCTTCGCGGTGCTGCGCCGCCTCATTGAGCGGCTGCTGCCGACACTCCACCGTCATTTTGAAGATGCCGGTGTGGACGTCGTCTTCTTCGCCTCGCAGTGGTTCCTCACGCTGTACACGTACCAGTTCCCCCTTGACTTTTCCTGTCGTGTGTGGGACCTCTTCCTCGTGACGGGGTGGCGCGTGATGTTCCAGGTGGCTATTGCCATACTGCAGGGGGAGCAGGAGCAGCTGCTTGCGCTCGACATGGAGGCAACACTGCTGTGGCTTAAGGAGTGCCATGAGGGCAGGTCGACGGACGAGATGCTGCACCGCATTGTGAATGTCCCGCTCACGCAGGAGGACTTCGCGCTGATGCTGGACGCGGAGGGGGTGCGTGTCGACGATGGCTAACCACATCCCCCCGCATCATCATCATCATCAGCGGCCGCAGCAGCAGCAGCAGCAGCAGGCGCAGGTAGCTGTAGTGCCTGGCTGTGGTGACAACAGCTGCCTGCAACATGTCCGTCGTTGTGGTTGCTACGCTTTTCTTCTTTCTCTTTCTCACTGTGTGTGTGTGTGTGTGTGTGTGTTTGCTTGCTTAGCATTGCTTTGGTGTGCAGCGCTTTGTATCGTTGTTTCTTCCCCCCTTTTCTCCGCCTTGCTGCCTCGGTGCTGCGGGGGCGAAGGAAAACTTTCTTTTTTGATTGCTGCAGAGCCCGAAAAGAAATTTAACAACAGGAAAGATGGGGACCATGCTACCGAAGCCGATCCTAAGCAAAGTCGTTGATAGAGCCGGTAGTTATCATGTCGGCGCCGCCTGTGTTTCCGTGAATGGGTACCGCACCAACATGGAGGACGCGCACGTCATGCTTGTAGAAACCGACATGAGTCTCTTCGGTATATTCGACGGCCACAACGGTGGCGGCTGCAGCCAGTACATCGCGGAGCACATCCCCGCCAAGGTGAGGGCGCTCGCCGGCAACTACAGCGCGGAGGAGCTGGAGAAGATATGCATCAGCCTCGACCAGGAGTTCATGTCGGGCGCCGCCGACGCAAGCGGCTCCACCGGCACCTTCTGCATCATCACGCGCGACTACACCACCACCATCTGCAACGTAGGCGACTCACGCACGCTAGTGGTCCGCGGTGGTAAGCTCGTCTTCGCCACTGAGGACCANAAGCCGACGAACCCGGACGAGCGCGTCCGCATCGAAGCGAACGGTGGGTATGTAGTTAGCAACCGCGTGGACGGTGACCTCGCCGTCTCGCGCTCGTTCGGCGACAGCTCGTTCAAGCGCAAGGACGTCGGCAGCGACTACAAGAACCAGAAGGTGATCGCCGTGCCGGATGTGACGACGGTGGCGTGCCAGGCCGGCGACATCATAATCCTCGCCTGCGACGGCGTCTTTGAGGGCTCCTTCGCCAACGACGAGGTCATCGCCTACGTGCAAGAGCAGCTGCCGCGCTGCAGCGACCTCGCTGTCGTCGCGGCGCGCGTGTGCGACGAGGCGATCCGTCGTGGCAGCAAGGACAACATCTCGTGCCTCATCGCGCGGCTCGGCGACGGCTCGTCGGCGGCACGGGCGTACGGCGCACACTCGTTCCTGCCGGGGCCG